ATAGAAATGGTGGTTGTGGAAACTGGGTAATGATGTCACATAGCAATGCCCGGCTTCCTCTCCCTAGCAACTAGTCTCCTTGGAGTTTCTTCAGCCAAGGAACCCAACTTGCTTTATAGCCAGGTGCAAACATTTTATAGTTTAACCAAATGTTTGTTAAGCGTTTTCCCATGCCTCATCTCGGGAGTAGGTAGATAGGAGACTCAGTAGAATCCTATTTTCTTTTCATTAGCAAGATGCAAATAGCGATATTAAAATATTTTTTCTAATTAATTTCCTTTCAATGTGCACAAACCTGTGCACCAGGACACTAGTAGATAATAAGAGAGCAGCCAACCTCAAATAGGGCCTTCCTGAGAGTCTGAATTTAAGTTGAGATGTGAATCATTGGATCAATCAAGATGAGGAATTTAACTAGAGGAGAGCTTAAGTTTAGCTCTGTTTTCATATGTGGTTTTATGATCATTAAAAATATATATATATGCAGTTTTGATTTCTCTGACTAAACAGTATTTTGAGAGAGGATATATTTTTTAAATTTCTGGGTATTTAAATGTCCTTTCTCCCTCTTTAAAAGTAAATTCTTTTTCTTGTCTTATTGCACTTGCTCACTCCTTGAGTACTATGTTGAATGGGAGTGTTGAGAACAGATCTCCTTGCTTTGTTCCTGACCTTAGGGACAGGCATGCAGTCTTTCATCATAGAGTGCGATATTAATTGTAGGATTTTTCATAGATGCCCTTTATCCTTATTTTTTAAATTAAATTTCTGCTTTTATTATGCTGTAGTCTTAGAATATGTCTACTGTTTTGAATCTTTGAAATTTATTGAGGTTAATTTTATAGATATTGAGAATCAGCTATAATCTCTGCTTTTCTGATTAGGAATTTGGATTGTCTTAAATAAATCTTATTAAACAACTAGAGGCCTGGTGCACGAATTCATGCATGGATGGGGTCCCTCAGCCTGGTCAGCGATTGGGGCCGGCCGGCTGGGGAGGGACCGCAGGAGGTTGGCTGGCCGGGGAGGGACTGTGGGAGGGCTCCAGGGCATGTCCAGCCAGTCTCGCCCAATCCCAATCAGCCAGACTCCAGCAGCAAGCTAACCTACCAGTTGGAGTATCTGACTGGTTGAGAGATAGACTGGTCTGACACTTAGCTGACCGATATATATTAGAGGCCCGGTACACGACATTCGTGCACTGAGGGGGTCCCTCAGCCCGGCCTGTGCCCTCTCGCAGTCTGGGACCCCTTGGGTGATATCTGCCTGCCGGCTTAGGCCTGCTCCCCAGCAGGATGTCCCTGGCAGGCAGACATCCCCCAAGGGGTCCTTAGCACTGCTTCGGAGGCAAGAGAGGCTCCTGACACTGACGCTGTGCTCGCCAGCCATGAGCCCGGCTTCTGGCTGAGCAGCACTCCCCCTGTGGCCACGCATTCACCATCAGGGGGCAGTTTCTGCATTGAGTCATTCCACTGTTTGGTTGATTTGCATATTAGCCTTTTATTATATAGGATGGCTCTCAGATTTTATGTCACGTGGTTCAAATTTAATAAGTGAGAGTTAGAGCCCAGTAATATGTATTTTGAACATTAACACCATGTTATTTCAATGATGTTCATTCTCTTTCAATTACAGTTGACATACACTGATTGTCTTTGGATTGCCGATTCAAAGATAATTAGCTCAAGAGAATTAACTTACAGTTTTCTATTATTACTAGAGGCCTGATGCACAAAATTCGTGCAAGAGTAGCCTTCCCCCGGCTGCTGGCACTGGCTTCCCTCTGGCACCCAAACCTGGGCTTCCCTCGCAGCCCTGGCTTTTGTCCTGGAAGGTCGTCTGGAAGGACGTCTGGTCTAATTAGCATATTACCCTTTTATTATTATAGAAGATTGTGCTTAATTTCCTTCAGTATTTTCTGTTATTTTTTCTGCTTCATTTTTGTTGTTTTTTAATTTTGGTTTTATGTTTTATTTGTGGTAAATAATTCATGACAGGTCTTCATTGTGAATTGTATCCTTTATCATTCTGAAGTGATCTCTTTGTCTGCTTTAATTAATAGCACCACCTCTGCCTTTTAAACAAAATTAATCTGTCTATTTTTGGTAATATTTTTCACCTCTGAATTTCAACTCTTTAAATCCCCTGTATTTCTCTTCTTAACATACAGATGGATTTTGTTTAGGATCCTTTTATTTTG